AGCCTCTGGTGTTTAAAACCCAGCGAGATGCACCTGGTGCACAGGTAACAGCCCAGCTTATAGACTGAGACAGACTAGGAAGTAGGAAGAGGCCATCCACTTCTCAAATAATTGGCCAGGGAAAACCTTATGAATAGCAAAGAAACACTGTTTGGTCCTGTGGAATAGTCTGTGATAAAATTTCTTATTTCCTACCTCACATGCTTGTAAAGCATCTCTCTTGCCCTCCTTCTTAACTGCCTATCATTTCCCATTGATGATTAAAGCTGGGTTCATTCTGAGCTCAGGGGTAATGAGAGGTTTGAGGTGTATGTCCTCTTTACTTGCATCCTTCACCACCACCTCTACCCCAAGCCTCAGAACATCACCACTCACAGAGTGGAGACTTGATGCATGTTGACTTATGTTTAACTTAGAAGCATTCACCTGAATTCCTACTAAGAAATAACCTTGAAAATTCACCAGCTATTCATCCAGCAAACATTATTAATCACCTTAGTGGGTACAAAAGTGAATAAAGCAGGCCCTTTGATCTTAAGATTTCCAAATCTACTAGGTGTCTCAAAGGTTGTGATGGTGTCTAGTAGATCTTTTCAATTTTTCAAAAAAATTCATGAATTATATATACTGTGCAAAAGCAGAGTGGATCTTTATTTCATTGCTTTCAGTTCTTCTGCTATGTACCTCTTTGCAAAACCTGATTATATATATAATACCAACAAGAAAAAAAAAAAAATCCCAGATTAATGAAGAAAGCCAGCTATTGTCCCCTGTCACCAACAGTCAGATTCAGTCTGAGCCAGGGCAAGCTGGTAGTTCAGAATAACCGGAGAAGACATAAGGTGTCTGTGCAATAGTGGTAATAAATGCTATGCACTGGGCATCTGCAGTGTGTCAGATAATTTGCATATATAGTCACTAAACTTCCCAATGACCCTGCAGATTTGATATCATTACCAGCTTCAGGAAGATCAGAATACATTCCAAAGCCATATAATTAGTAACTTGAAAGCAGGAACCTGAATTAAGCATTATCCCAAATGTAGGGTCTTTTCTCTGCACCACCACTCTACCACCAAGAATCAGAGGATCCCAGAGCTGAACTCAGGTATGTGGGGGAGACATTGTGTAGCTGCATTCTGTTGGGAGAGGTGAGCAAGATCAAACCCTGATCACTCTCTTTTTCTATTTTCCATCCGGCAGGAGTTTATGAGGCTGACAGTGTCTGACATGATGGTAACGTACATCACCATCCTGCTGGGGGACTTCCTACGGGCATGTTTTGTCCGATTCATGAACTACTGCTGGTGCTGGGACTTGGAGGCTGGATTTGTAGGTCCTGGTTTCATGGATATTCTGTGGAAAGGGTGGTTCAACCATCTTGTTTGATACTTACAAGCAGATGCTCTCTTATGCACTCCTTTAGATGCTTAGGGCTGAACTCTGCTCTATGAAAATAGTGAAGTGTTTAATCTGTATTTCCTTTATGTGTCCTATTTGCCTTCTAAAAGGAAACTCTGCTTTTTCCCAGTTTAATTGATCATGTGACTTTCTTATCTGGGAAATGGAGGCAGTTGGTCTTGAGTCAAGGTGGATCATACACTACAGTGCTGAGCAGATGGTTGGCAGAGAAATGCCTAAGAAGCATCAACTCTCATTGCTACCAGTTGCCATCAAGTTGGCCCCAAACTCATGGTGATGCCATGCACAATGGTCTCAGACCGTTGTGATCCACAGGGTTTTCATTGGCTGATTTTTTTAAAGTGGATTATCAGGACTTTCCTCCTAGTCTGTTTTAGTCTGGAAACTCCGCTGAAACCTGTTCAGCATCATAGCAACACGCAAGGCTCCACTGACAAAGACATGTAGTGGCTGCACATGAAGTGCATTAGCCAGCAATCAAACCAGGTCTCCCACATGGAAGGCGAGAATTCTATCTGAACAACCACTGTCCCCATCAACGCTCACTAGGGAAGCTGAAATCCTGGGGCAGGAGGAGGGCAGATGTAGAGGCGAAAGTTTCAAAAACCTAGAATACACCAGTAACACCGTAACTGTTGGTAGTGTCTTCTGGATTATGCTTTGGGAAATCTCCTTCAACTATTATACCTTCCACCTATGATATTCCTCTTACCTACCTACCTGGTAAATGGCCTGTCCTGAGTCTGTGCCACTTCCTTTCTGTAGTGGCCCTCTCTGATCTGCCAGAAATGCCGGTCTACTCATCTATCTTGTTCATTTCTCTTCCATGACACTTCACTCACCTACCATGTAGTCACTGGTGTGTGTGTTGAGGGTGGGGAACTCCCCCTTAATTGAGAAGGTTCATATCTCATTAACCTACATAGCCCCCATCTTGGCCTGCTGTATGGTGCGAGGCCCCAGTAAGGGTCTTGGTACTGGTTTCTGTCACCAGAAATTTGTATTTTGTTTGTTTTAAAGCTTTCTTTTCAGTTGACTGCTGATTTTATTATTAGGTTTACTCCTTGATTATAATTTTAAGGAACAACTCTGATTAGGGAATTTGATAAAATGCTTTCTTAGGGCCCAGGACCTCCCAAGAACACACTGTTAGGTAGACTCTTATGTTTTTTGGGTTTTTTTAATTGGAAAATACATTGAAAAACATTTTAAATTTAAGCATACTCAAGCCTTTTCTTAAAAAGTTAAAAACATGTTAGAGGAACAGAATCTTGAATGCAAAGTCCTTCTTTGTTTACCAGAGCAGGCTCTTTGGGATGGAAGGGTCTTGGCTTGGCAGGTTGGCTGGTAGTGGTGTCTGGCCGACACTACCTAATACACTTCTCTCTTTCTAATTCTCCCCAGCCCTCATATGCTGAGTTTGATATTAGTGGAAATGTACTGGGTTTGATCTTCAATCAAGGAATGATCTGGTGAGTTACCCATTTTATCTAGGAATCACCTCATTCAGGAGTCAAAACCCTGGGATCCTTTCCCAGGCTTGTCTAAATGACAGCTCTTCCTGAGCAGCAAGGAGATCGTCACAATCTTATCTGAGAACAAGCTTGTGAGACTGGACAAATCATCTTTGCTCCTGAACTTCTTTCATTTACATGAAAACTAGGGCCCAGGACTAGATGAAAACCAGGACAGTTTCTGGCCCCCCTCCTCCCCCCACCCCCAGTGCGCTAATGTGGAAATAAAGAAGAAAGGATGAAAGAGGGAGGAGGGAGAAAAGAACGAGGAGAAAGAAGAAGAGAGAGAAAAGGAGGTGTGGGTGGGAGGGAGGGAGGAAGGGCAGGAGGGAGGCAGGGAGAGAGGAAAGAAGGATGGAGGGAGGGAGGAAGGAAGGATGGAGGGAGGGAGGAAGGAAAGAAAACTAAGGAACTCCTTTCTCTGAAAAGGGAGTTGGAGGAGGCATCATAACTGCAGCTAAAGACATTAGGAGCTGCCAAGGATTCACTGCAAGCCACTGTCCAATTTTCTTAATTTAAGAACTTCAAATACTTTTCTGAGCACCAACACTATTTTATGCAGAGCAAGGAGAAACAAGCAGGAGCCATGCAATTTGCTGGATGTCTGGTGGCAAGGTAGTGGTAAAGTCCTGGCCAAAACCCCAACCACTAAGAGTGTCTCCCTCTACAGAGGAATGGATGACTATGGCTTGATGTTAACTAGGTAATCCCTTCCCTTGGGACCCACAGGGAAAGCAGAATGGCCTCATGACCCTAACCCATCAATGCTATTTCCTTCAGTCACCCTCCCTGCACTTTTCCTGCTATTGGGCCAATCAGGTTTCTGGTTTCTGCCCTTCTAGGATGGGCTCCTTCTATGCCCCAGGACTGGTGGGCATTAACGTGCTGCGCCTGCTGACCTCCATGTACTTCCAGTGCTGGGCGGTGATGAGCAGCAACGTTCCCCATGAGCGTGTGTTCAAAGCCTCCCGATCCAACAACTTCTACATGGGCCTCCTGCTGCTGGTGCTCTTCCTCAGCCTCCTGCCCGTAGCCTACACCATCATGTCCCTCCCGCCCTCCTTCGACTGTGGACCATTCAGGTGCAGAGTCTTGGTTGCATGAGAGCAGCTCCTCACCTGGGCAGTCTGCTCAGAGGGCCCTGGCTCAAAATCCCAGTTTTGGTTCCACATCAGCCTGCAAAAGGCCATGGAGCCTTGGGCAAATCATCAGGTTCCTTAGCAGAGTTATTCCATCATGATGGAATGCCTGTCTGCACTGACCAATATGGTAGCCCATAGCCACAAGTGTTGAGTACTTGAAAAGGGTCTACAGCAACTGATAAACCGAATTTAAATGTTATTTACTTCAAATTAATTTTAATTTAAATAACAAGAGTCTAATGGCTATTGTACCAGATAGCACAGTTCTAACCTTTTAATAGGAGTCCCTGGGTGGCACACTCAGCTACTAATCAAAAGGTTAGTGGTTTGAGTCCATCAACAGATGCCTCAGAAGAAAGGCCTGGTGATCTACTGAAAAATCGCAACCTCGAAAAGTCTATGGAGTACAGTTCCACTCTGACACATATGGGGTTGCCATGAGTCTGAATCAGCTGGATTGCAACTAGAAAGACCTTTTAATATATGGGTAATCCACTGCCTTGGATTGCCTTATCATAGGATGATTAATGGAGGAGATATTCTGAAGGTGAAATGGCTGTAGATTTGAAGGTGCCATTCAAATATAAAGCAGCTAAAGTTGACACTCAACTGAGATTCTCATCTGGGCCTCTACACTCTGTGAGGCATTTGCCAGCACTATGGGTTCAGGGGTAGACATCACACTAGTTGAAGAGATTGTATATCATATAAAAAGTTAAACAATAATGCACAGAGGTACATTGAGCAGTACCTCTACTGCTGTCTTTCCAAGTGTGTAGCCCTCAGAAGACAAAGTATCTACTCCATAAAAAGTAGTTCTGTGGGCAGAGCAGTTTGGAACATGCTGCCCCTTGTAGCTGCCACTTTCTCATTTAGAAATAGTCAGTGCAGACTCCTTTACCAAAGGCTCTGAAGAATCGTGCAGTAAGATAATGTGTTTCAGCCAGTGTTTCCAATTCCTATTGGCTGGAAAATCCTTTGTTCATATAATATCTACCAGGATGGGGACCAGAGTGAGGCAAGTGGGTGTCGACTTCACATTTAAATGACCCTGAGAGTGATAACCTCTAAGCGGTGCACCCCAGATGCCTCCCCCAAGTCCCAACTCTGCCTGTCAGCATAGAGAGGCTCATTTGGGGAGATGTTAATCTGGTACTTTTTAGTTTATAAGGGACTTAACTGAAAAACAGGGAGCTCTGGTGTCAATTGACTGCTAACCAGAAGGCTGGAGCTTCAAACCCACCAGCCACTCCTCGGGAGGAACATTGGGTGATCTACTTCCGTAGTGATACCGCCTCCAAAACCCAAGGAGGGGTTGCTATGAGTTGGATCTCACTTCACGGCGGTGAGTTTGGATTTTTGTTTTTTGGGGTTTTTTTTTTTTTTGCAACCAAAAAACCAAACTCATTGCCATCATGTTGATTCTGACTCCTAATGAGCCCCCGTGGGTTTCCAAGGCTGTCAGTCTTTATGGAAGCCGACTGGCTCATCTTTCTTCCATGGGGTGGCTGGTGGATTCAAACCAGTGGCCTTTTGGTTAGCACCCAAATGCCTTAACCACTATACCACCAGAGGTCCTTATAAGGCACTTATCTCAATGTAAAAAGGCCTGTGGTTGGTGTTCCCACAACAAGTGCATAAGCATCAGAGGAGACATTTTCAGGAGTGTCCACAGCAGAGCACAAACCTGCCACAGCAGAATTTGCACAGAAGGAAAAGTAGGGCAAGAACATGCTGAACTGAAGAAGGCCTTGAACACAGGTGGAAGGGGGACCAGGTGGTTGAAACCTCATTGGTTCTGAAGGGCTGGGCTCTGGATGTCAATGCCAATGGCCTTTTGCTTAGACTATACATCTACCCAAGCAAGATGAGCTGGCCTGTGCCATGTCTGGCTCTTGCCATCTGCCCCACTCTTGGCTTACCTGCTACTCTTTTGTTGTTGTGTGCTCTGGAGTCAGACCTGACTCATAGAAACCCCTCCTTGGGTTTCCAAGTCTGTATCACTACGGAAGCAGATTGCCCAACCTTCCTTCTGAGGAGTGGCTGGTGGGTTTAACCACCAGCCTTCTGGTTAGCAGTCAAGTGCCTTAGGCACTACGCTACCAGAGCTTCTCTGAGGAGGCCTGAAAATCAGATAGCAAGAGAAAGGAGCTGAAAATGGAATTCAACACTCTTCTGCTCAAATCACACCCACAGCAAGAATGTTCATCCCTGTCATCGTCAGCTGTCCTCTCACTTGCTTCAGGTCTTTTTGAAAGGTCATCTCAGTGAGGCCTTCCCTAGAGACCCTAACTAAATTGTCACACACATACTTTGTATCACTATTTCTGCTTATTGTATCTCCTTAGTCTGTATCAACATCTAATGTACCATAATTTTTGCTTATTTACTTCTTTATTGTCTGATTCCACCATCAGGATGTGTATACATGCTGAGAGCGGCGACTTTTGCTTCTTTTTTCACTTCTATGTTCTTAGTGTCTAAAAGCCAATGCCTAGTGTATGGTAGATGCTCAAACTAGATCCCTCACTGTGATAACTCAGTAGTACAGGGAGGGACTAAGGGCTTGGACCAAAGCAAATGCCTGCAGCAGACAGACTAGTAACATAAACGAATGAGGTGAGTAGCATTACACAGCATAAGGTTACAAGTAGGGGTTGGCAAACTACATATATAGCTCATGGGCCAAATCCAGATGGCCACTTGTTTTGTAAATAAAGTTTTAGTGGAACACAGTCATCTCCATTCACTTACATATTGTCTATAGCTACTTTCAGCAGAAATAAGTGATTGCACACATTTAGGCCCACAAAGCTTAAAATCTTTATTATCTTCCTTTTTTTCAGAAAAAGGAAGATAATAGAGATTTTAGGTTCTATCTTCTGGTTTAGAACATAGAATCTGAAGCCAGCTCTGCCATTTACTAGCTGGATGATCTTGAAAAACTTACTTAAATTTTCTGCACTGCAGGTTCATTGCCTACAAGATGTAAATAATAGTAATGCCTATGTGTTTTGGTTGTTATGAGGATAGAGTGTGTTCTTTGTACAGTGCATAAAGGACTATGTGGACCCATAGGAAGGGGCATCATATGAGTTTGTTGCCTGAGTCCTGCCCAAGTTGGTGCTCACAATAAAACCCTTTAATTTTTTTATTACTGCAATTAATTCAAGTTAAAAAAAAAAAAATAATATTTTAGCCCACTGAACTAACCTGTGAACATGGACTGCACGTTGGCCAGCATTTCACCTCAATGGCCTGAGTATCTCTCTAGTCTTTTAAATTTCTAAGGGAGATGAGAGTTGATTTTGAACTTCCTCTCTTTTCTCTCTGGCTTCATTGAAATCTATTAGCAGGTCTTATAATTGGCTGGGGGGTAGTGAGGAAGAAAGAAAGATGTCAAGAACCATAATAATCTCCAGTGTGGTCACTCCCTTCTCAGTGAAGGGGACAGTGGTGGTAATAAGGAGATAGCCAAGGTGTCCTGAATAACTTGTTTGTGCCAGACATTTCATGGGATGTATTTAATCCTTGTAACAGTGCTGTGAGATGGGAAACATTATCTGCTCTGGGTCAGCAAACTTTTTCTATAAAGAGACTGATAGTAAACATTTTAGGTTTTGCAAGTGAAGAAACAAAATCAGGGATATAATGTAGGTACTTATATAACAAAAGACAAATGTCTACAAAGTTTTTGCTGACAAAATTCAAAATATAATAATAGAAGGTTTTGTTTGTTTGCTTGTTTGTTTATAATACAGGTCTACCAATAAGAAGAATGGAATTCTTTTTTAAGGGAAGGATAACATTTCATACCACCACTTGTCTGTCAGTTTGTCATACTATAGTGGCTTGCGTGTCGCTGTGATGCTGGAAGCTATATTCTCTTACAGTTTGGAGGCTTTAAGTCTGAGTTCAAGGTGCCAGGCTCTAGGGGCTGTGTAAAAGCCCCTCGACCTTGGGCTTCAGCTCTGCCTCTTGCTCCTGGCCCACTGAAACTAGAGGCATCTCTTCACTCAGGCAGCTACTGGCTGCTGAGGCTAACAAGCCCAAGGTTGACAAATAAAATGGCACAGTCCCGATGTTACCAAACCACATGGCAGGCCATTAATTCAAGTCTATTGAAAGTCCCAGGATCGGCAGAGCATGGCAGACTGCTGAACAACAACATGGCTACATGCAGGGTTCAAGCATGCCATAAACTAGACACCATTCTCCAAGGCTTCTTCTTATATACAGGAAGCAGACCACATCCCTAATGCAGCTACTCAGTTGCTCACAGTAGATTCCACCATGGAGTTGATTACCAGTCTCATCATGGGGAATACTACATCCAGCTGCCCAGCAACTCAACCAGGCCCAGCCAAGTTGACACACAAACTGAACTACCAAAAAGGAGAAGAATGTTCTTGGCATTTCTCAAACTGAAAGAACTGAAATATACATATATGCCTTGAGTTGTGATATTGAAGGACTGTATGTGCAAAATACCGAATGAATGCAGGAAGCATCAAAAGAAGATGGAAGGAATAGTAGAGTTACTGTACCAAAAAGAATTGGTTGACATTCAACCATTTCAGGAGGTAGCATATTATGATCAAGAACCAATGGTATTAAAGGAAGAACTCCAAGCTGCACTGAAGCAATTGGTGAAAAACAAGGTTCCAGAAATTGACAGAATATCCACTGAGATGTTTCAACAAACAGATGCAGCACTGGAGGCGCTCATGCATTTATGCCAAGAAATTTGGAAGACAGCTACCTGGCCAGCAGACTGGAAGAAATAATATTTATGCTCATCCAAAAAAAGGTGATCCAACAGAATGTGGACATTATTGAACCATATTATTAATATCACATGCAGGAAAAATTTTGGTGAAGGTAATTCATAAACAGTTGCAGCAGTACATCAATAGGGAACTGCCCAAAATTTAAGCTGT